TCTACACTAGGCATAAATCCCAAATCTTCATCATTAACATAACCCTGACGCTAAGCCTAACCATAAACTTATGTCCAACCTTAAACCTGACCCTTAACTTAGCTCCAACTGTTATCTTAATCCTAAATCTATAGTTACCCGGAATTCGGTGCAAAGTCGCATGTATTGTGGGCGCTTCCTGTTTCCGTGTTCTGTCTGGCGGCCATCGTGTCCGGGCAGAACGCGACACCAGGATGGGACGTGAACCGCCCATAATATGTTAATCACCACCCCTACCCATTTGTATACTCCTCTTACTAGGGCAGACACGAGGGGGAGGGGTGACGTGAACAGACTTTCCGTTGTTCGGGGATGATTATTTTGCGCTGTTTTTTTGCCCGCCCAACTATTCCCGAACACATTACGATTAGCTGTTTAAAAAGGCTACGGCCGGTAAAACTTTGTTCCAGCCAGGTAAATTTAAAACGCACCGTCACTTAGAAAATAACTCATCACAACGGGTACAGGAGTCCAGACTCTGAGTGAATCCCGCTTACCTGCTCACATTACTGCTATGCTTGGGATTCTACTCATCATCGGGTACTCCTGGCCTTCCCCTGTGTTCTTTGGAGCTCTGAATAGTCATCACAACGGCTTGAATGCATTCGGACTAAAGTTGTATAGTCAGGGGGTTACTCGGTTCAGCTTACATTTTCAACAAAAGCCTTTACAGAACTAGAAACAAAATCTTGCAAATTAATTCCAGCTAAAATATCGTATTTCTCCAGATATTTTTGACAAACTATAGGGTGGGCTAAAATGAAGATCTGAAACCATTGCTGCTAAACATGTGAAATACACCTCAGCTACCGGGACACAGTTTCATGGTCTGCCACCAGTGATAGGAATCCTTCCGATTCACATGAGAACTGCGGTCACATATCAGGACACTTTGACAGATACAACTACGGAGGGTGGGCTTTAACTGGTAGCGTCGCTTTGATTTTCTTAATGGCGGTCTTATGGCAATAGGATTTTGAGTCCCTTGATTGCATTGCTCGTGATCATACCAAACCTCTCTGAGCTGTGAAGGCGCATTTCACAGTTGCTATCTCTTTTCATGTATGAACAAAATATTTCGTAGCTATGAACTTTTCCATATTCCATCGCAATAAGAACACCAATTTCAGATTGCGAGTGCAGATACGGCAACCTAAGATAAGAAAGTAGTTAGTCGTCCCATTAAGAGGAGGGTTATAATCTCCGCGGCAATCTTTATGAAGAAGCTTCACCTTTCCAGTTTACTTCGAAAAAGAGGATTTATGGTAAAGCTTCCGAGGGGCAGAAAGGACCATTTAATTTGTAATTTTGATTATCTCTTCGAATTATATTGCTGAGGCCATGAAATGCGTCGACATACTGACTGGAAATCAACCCAGCTGATTCACAGTAGAGCAACAATAAATTTAATCTACCACCTTAGATACCCTTAGCCCTTGGTCCTGTGGTTTGTTTTAGTTTTAATAGTTTTACTTTAGCTTTAGTTTAGCTCATTATTTAGTTTATCAGCTTAATTTTGGTTAAAGTTTACTGAAGATTTATTTCAGTTGGATACCGCCAACGTAAAATAAATATACTTAAATCACTACGATAAACCAAACTAAGCATAACTTAACAAAATGACTAATTCAGAAGAAGAGCTGGCAAGCATACGTACCTTTCGATAAATTCTTCTCGGGCCATTGCATTTATATAGGGAGGGGGTAAAAAAGTTACATGCTGGTAACATGCCTCAATCAAGCCGTATCACGAACCTTCCCAGCAGCGAAAGTTCGGGTGTTATTCTCAACCAACCCGGTCCTGCACTGCGAAGGTAAGGATAGGCTGCCAGCTCAGACCACTTCTATGTGCATATACGCGTTCACCTGCTCCTGTGGAGCAGGTTATATCGGTTGCACGAGTCGGCGCGTATCACAAAGAATACGGGAGCACCTCCCTGCATGGCTGGCCAAAGGCGAAGTCAGAAGCATCAATAGCTCTATCCTTGTCCACATGGTTGACTCCGGACATCGTGTGAACCCCAACAAGGTTGCGCCAAACTACCCAAAGTCCCTGGGTCAGCGTTTGCTAGCAATAGCAGAAGCAGAACCAACCGCGATCGGGTTGAGGAAGTCGGTTCTGTGCGCGTAAAAGAACCTCCTGCAAGCTCCGAGCTTGGCATGACCAGTGGTTACATAACAGCCTGCATCTTTCCGCGCTTTCGCCCCCTTCCACCCTTCCCCTGTCCGGATTCAACAAACCTTCATGGCCTCGCAACCAGCCAGGTACTATCAACCCCACCCCCACCCCCCTATTCCTATGACTAATTTGTCTGTGACGATGAACAAAATTGCCAGCATGTTACTTTTTACCCCCTCCCTATGTAAATGTAATGGGCCGAGGAGAATTTATCGAAAGCTACGTATGCTCACCAGATATTCTTCTGAATTCTCTGATGGGAAATGTCGCAACTTTAAAAATAACTAAACTGAAAAGTAAGCTACAGTAAAAGTAAAATTAACCTAATAAACTAAATAATGAACTAAAAACTAAACTGTACTAATGCCGCCGACAGACTATTGGGACTTGGGGTAGTATAGGTGGTAGAGCTACCAATTTTTAGCATATTATTTTCTATTGAAAGGTACCTCCTGACTAGATGTCAACAAAAAAACATGTTTGCTTCTGTCATCAGTTGACTGAGTCAAGAGCAAAGATCCAGGAGGTATCTAGCGAGGGAATCCTCTATCAAGACAAGAACAAAAAGCTGCGGGACCACATTGAACTCGTGAAGACGGAAAGGCGCCAAGCTGAAGAACTAAGAGTTGAACTGGACAAGGAAATTGAGAACCAGCGACATCTGATAAAGCTGGCGGAGCAGGAAAACTGGCGTACGGGTAGTGACAATCGAAAGTTGCTGCAGCAGAAGAAGAAAATAGTCGACCGACTGGGATCTCTGGAGGTGAGAAGGCCTTTTTTCTGATTTTATTGACCTCGTTCTCTTTACTCCAAGCTGTACTCGGACTTCGGTGTCAGCAGATGCATTAACTCGGATGCCGTCTTAGCCATATTCATTCGGTCTTATGGAAATTTAGTTCCACAGTCAGCTAAAATTCGCGAGGAGTTTCTTCTGAGAACACCTCTCCCCCCCCAAACAATTACGGAAACCAGATGCGTGTATTACTTATTAATATGCAACTACATGCCCATCTAAAATGCACATTAGGCTCGCAGTATCGTTTCCGATAGGCTTATTAGCCAGCAGTTGCGAGCACCTTATAGGGATTAACAAGGAGTGTATATTTCAAATTCGACGATGATAACCCATCTAGGAAGTCAAGGTTGGCAAACATAAGCTTTCGATTATTCAGCCCCCGACCTTAACGGTATGCCAGCGAGACGCTCCAAGTTTCTGCGTCAGCGGTACTTGCGAAGACAGCGACAGCGGCCAAACAAACTGTGCACTCGGATACAGTGTTTACACAGGCCCCGAGGCTCCGTGGCTCAAGATGGGCCCAGCATGTTCGTTCACGCATCCTGACAAGTCTTGCTACAGTGATGAACCACAGGCAGGGCTCAGTGTCAGAGCCCTCCTCCCCCTCCCCTTC